GCCCTGCCCTGCCCTGCCCTGCCCTGCCCTGCCCACTCCCTCCTGCATCAAGCCCGCGCCCTTCCTCACGCCCACATGGATTACGCAATGCTGACCCCCACCTCCCCCTCGACCTCGCACCCTACAACCTCCACCCTCCACCCTTGCCGCGCCCTCCCCTCCAGCCTGCGTGGCGCCATGCTGACGGCACGTGGCAGCCGGCCTTTGCCAACTTCACCAGCCTGGCCACACCCAACGAGCTGGGCAGCGGCAAGACGGCCCTGGTCACGCTGCTGCACGAGGGCGGCCACGGTGGGCTGGGTGCGGTGGGGCTGGGAAGTTCCTGTTTCAGGCGCTGCTATTGAGGCGTGGCAGTCTTGATGGGAGCGGGGTTTGCTCGGGGTGCTCACTGGGGGTTGTCGGGGTGTGCACGGGAGGGGGGGTGGAAGGGAGTCTGCAGTGGGGGTTCGTCGGGGTGCTCAGTGGTGGACGGGACAAGGCTCGGTCCTTGCAGCAGGTGGGCACAGGAGTTGTGGCAATGGTAGAGCCGCCTGGGAGGGGCGCTTCAAGATGTGAAGGGGTCGGGGTCACTGTTGCGAAGAGGGTGTGTTTGTTGTTTCTGCGTATTGGACTGGCCGGGGCCGTGATGAGGGTGCTGCCTAGGGGTGGTCTGCCTGCTCTGTCCACCCCTTCGCACCGCCCTTGCGCACCTGAGTCTGAATAGCTGCCTGTTGTGACGCTTGTTAAGCACACACACCATATTGGATTGTTGCTGTACGGCAGTTTGCGTTCCCCGCGCTCCGCTGGCACCAGGAGCACTCCCATATAATCGCATTTCTTGGCAGAACAGGGGGATACCCTTGTGTAGCTCATGCTCCATGCCGCCTTGCCACAATCCCCCAGGCCCCTGCCCCACATCCAAACGCTCAAAACACGAATGCCCAGCTTCCTCCCCCTCCTTTTTCCCCAATGATGCATCACCCACCCTTCCAGCTGCCCACTTTGCAAACGTGGACCAGCATTCCCCATTCTTCAGCCAGGTGGGGCCTGGAAATGAGTTGGTGTTGCACCTACGCATGTAAGGGGGCATGCGTGCGTGCGCTCATGTTTGTGTGTTTTTACAAGTGTGTATGTATGTGTACGTGTGTGTGCGTGTGCATGTGCCTGTGTATGTGTGTGTGTGTGTGTGTGTGTGTGTGTGTGTGTGTGTGTGTGTGTGTGTGTGTGTGTGTGTGCACGCATGCATGCACGGGTCCTTGTGCAGGCGTGGGTCACCTGTAAACTTATCAGCAGCAGCTTGTCATGTTTGCCGGTTGCCGCCTTCTCATGAACCCACTTTTCTATTCGGTCCCCAATCGCAGGAACGCGCCCCCACTTCCGTCGCCTATGCTGAGAATCAGGTGCGGCGCAGAGGGCAGCACGGCCCCGGCCCCGGCACAGCTCGACGGTCCCCGCGCACGGCTGGCTCCCTGGCGCCATTCCGAGAGGGTTGTCCCACTCACTTGTCATGCCGTGTTCTGCATTGCTGCCCGGCCATGTCTTGAGCCCTTCCCCCACCCTCTTCAACCCCCAGCAATTCTGCATTGCTGCCCGGCCATGGCTTGAGCCCTTCCCCCAACCTCTTCAATCCCCAGCAATCGCCTCTATGGCAACAACCCGACCCCACCCTCCCCACCCTCACCAACTGCACCTGCACATGCATCCCACTTCCTTAATCCCCTCACACTCCCCACCCCCGTTCCATCCCCGCACTCACCCCCAACTCCTGCCCCCAACCATGACGGTCCTCACGCTTTCCATGCACTACCCACTCCCGTTCCTCACCCCAACCCCCAACCCCACCCAAAACATGACAGTCCATGTTCCTGGACAGCCTTGCGCAGGACGCTGCGTGGCTGGGCCGCTACGCGCGCGACAGACAGGTGCAGTGCATGTGCCGCTTAGATTGCTTTTTCTGCATGCAGCAGGGCCGCCTTGTGTGGTTGCTGCCGCAGGATGTCGGAGTGGTCATCAGGCAAATTGGCTGTGATTTGAGGGACCCCCCAGTACTCTACCCGGGCACGCCTGCCATCCTTGTCACAGCCTTGCCCGTAACTCTATAATTTGTTCCCCCCTCTTCCTCCCTCCCCTTCTCTTTCAACCCTTGCTTCCATATCGTACACCCAGCGCTTCCGATTGCTTGCTCCACCCTCATCTTACCTCCCCACCCCTGCTGCTTGGCCCCCTGTGTCAGGGCAACGTCATCCCGTGGGAGCTGGTGGAGCGGCTGCACCGTGACTCACACCCCTACGAGGTCTTCCAGGTCAGCATAAGATAGAGGGTGTTGACACCGCACACGCACAGTGTGCTTCCTGTGTGTGCATGTGCCCACACACACACATACACACACATACACACACATACGCACACACGCACGCACACACACGTGCAGGCACGCACGTGGGTGTGCGTGTGTGCGCGTCCGCATGTTTGTGTGTGCGCGCGCGTGTGTGTGTGTGTGTGTGTGTGTGTGTGTGTGTGTGTGTGTGTGTGTGCGCGCGTGCGCGCACGCGTGCCGTCTTTGGCACACAGGGAAGAGGAGGGCTTTTTTCAGGTCTGGTCACTTGGGTGCGGTGCAGCAGCTGAGGGTGCTCAATGTTGAAGTGGCACCATGACCTCTCCCCCTTTGCAACCAAAACCAAACCAGGTCAGGGCGATGCTGGCGGTGCCATACTTTGAGAAGGCCCTCTACGAGCTGCCAGACGACCAGGTCAGCGCACTGATCTGGGTGCTGTCAGTCATGCGTATGCCCCTACCTTGTAACAGCATGTGTGCTGCCCTGCTGTGCTCCTTGACTATCCATACCTGGGCCGCGACTGCCTGCGCTGCTGTGTCCCGCGCCTGGCCGCGGCCCTCTCCCCCACGGCGACGTTCAAAGGCCAGTCCTGCGCCTAGCCAGCCTTGCGCCTCGGTGGCCATGCGTACCTGCGTGCTCGCTCACCACCACGCTGCCTTCACACTGCATGACTGGGCATCATTGACCCCAGGTGACTCCTGCTGCCCTGGAGGCGCTGGCTGACCGGGTGGAGAAAGAGATCCAGGGCGGCTTCTCACCCCGGCCCCTCCTGAGCGTGCCCCACATCCTGGCGGACGAGTCCAGCTGCTACTACCACGGGTGAGGCCGCCGATCCTGCAACGGCGGGGGCGGCGGCGGGGGCGGGGGC